TCAATTTTCTGTGCTCCTGTATTTTGGGTTGTTATTTGAGGTTTTTTTTTGGTTTTTTTAAACATTCAATTTAAGGCAAACTGCAGTCATAAAGTAGAAGGCCATATTTCTTTTTATGTGTTGGCTCCCTTCTTCAGCATTTTTTTTAATCTGCAATTGAAATGCATTTACTATGAGCTAAGATTCCGCTTTTGTTACTTTTGAGTCTGCAGCAGATAACTGTGCAGGATTTGGCCTGTTTGTGTATACAAATAAACGTGACATTGGGTCTGTTTCTTCAGAGTTCTTCAAGTTGACAGAGTTCTTCTGTGGATTAGCAGAAGTAACTAGGCCACTGTTTCTGGAAAGTTATGCCGCTGCTCTCTTGTATTTTTTTCACAATGTTATGAGCACCCCACACAAAATAACATTGTGTAAATATGGCCTCAATCACATATCCAAGAAACAGAGGCCTCAAACTTTGGCACATAAAACCACACTTTCATCATAGACACTTAAAGCATTGATACTGTTGAGCAAATGTCATGTGAATATGGTTATTATAATTCAACAACACTTAAAAAAGCAAAAGTTGAATTCACAATTTGAAAAAAACATCTCAACCAGTACAGATCTCCAGGAAGGAAGACTTTATTGGACTTGAATTAGGTGTGCTCATTGAAGGGTATTTCACACCTTGTTGTCACTGATAAAACAATCTCATTTCCATATGAGCGACAGAACAGTATTACTGTCATATGTCAGGCTTCTATGTTCTGGCCAAGGTTTGCAAAAGCAACTGTAACTGTGATATTCTTACTGTACAGGTCAGTGCACGGGTCTATACTGGAGCAGACTGGCTGAATGTGTGTGTGGTCTGCTGGGTGAATGTGGATTTACAGACAGCTGAAGGCACAACCAAGAACTCTTGAGGGTTAAGTTTAAGCAGTGGCAAGGGCAAAAAAGGTTTAAATCTGATATTCAAGTTAAAATCTTCTTAAACAGACAGTAAGTTTATGTTGGTCACAAGCAGAATTCAGTGATTCATTCAGTTTTTATTATTCCTTAATTGTATGGTGTTTTTGTTTTGTGAATGAAGTTAAACTAGTGAAACTCTTTCTCAAACCCTTGGAGGAAGCCCTGTGTTTGTTTAGTGTGTGTGTCAGTCTTTGTGTGTGTGTGTTCCTTTGAGTAAAACAGAGATTATACTGCTAGGATGCCAGGTCTTCCACAGACCCCAAATCACCCTGTGCTTCAAGCTGTGAAAACATACTGGACGTTTGTTGGCTCTTAGTGGCTAATAAGGTGTCATTGTGTGGTAGAGTTGTCTGACATCCCAGAGTCATTAGGATGACATGAATAGATTTAAAAGAAAATCTACACGCACATGCACAATATCAATCGTTTGATCGAAGAAAATTCATACTTTTAACAAGATTCCAGGAATGGGTCAACTTTGGTATCTGACAAAGTTCAATTGTGCTCTGTTGCTGAAATAAGGACTTGAAACCACGATTAGAACCTGCAACTTCAAAGCACCCGGCTTTCAAAGGCTTTCTTTTACAGCTAGCTTCAGGAGTCCTGGCTCCTATGTGTCCAGACAGCTTATAAAGGGCTGTTTTCATCCTCACCTCCCAATTCAACACCACAGATCTACTCTCGCCAACACTCCACTGCTATTATCAGAAATCCCCTGATACGAAGTCTGGATTTCTCTTAGGTACGAGACATTTAGACAAGGAAAAAATGCTGTCATCCACCTCTGCTGGATGACCTTGTTAGTCCCGAGGGTTGATTAGAGGCTATCTTGGACTACTCTTTGAAGAAAGCACTCCCTGGGTTTTCTCATGCAGAGCATGTTGATCCATCTTGGCGAGCGGGCACTGCACTCATTGCGGTTAAACTGTTAATGGAGTGAACATGAATATCACTGTCAACTGTGGGAGACTCGTACATGTGGAGGACTGCGGTTTGTTATTTCAATAGATATGAGTAGGGTGATAAAGAAACACGGCCTCGCAGGGCTCTAGCAGAGAAAAATAGACAGGTCTCTGTGGATCTGGATCTGGCTCAGGACTTACAGAGTGAGAGCCTGAGTTGTGTCTGCCTTGATGTGACCTCTGGGAGGGTTCGGTTAATGACACTCTGGGGTCGCTCATGACTGGTGTGTCGAGTTGCATGAATCAGTAATGTACACTTGACTTTATCATAACACCCACTCACCGCTCATTGATAAGGACAAAGGCGTTCTTCATCTGTTGTTAGCTGAGCAGACAAACTGTATGGTAAATAAATCACAGTAAAAAACAATCAGCACTCTTTATCTCTTCTGCTTATTCTCTTGATTTTCAGGCACTGACGGTCTGCAACTGACTGATGAAGGATTCGTCTTTATTAAAATCAACACAGGAGGAGTTGTCCTGTGATGACATCATATTCCCGAGAAGCAGCTGTGTTTTCTCAGAGTCACTTCAGCAGCAAAGAGCTGAACTCTGCAGAGCGATCTGCCAAGAGACGTAAATGTAGAGTAGGTATCAATACAAGCTTTTGCATTACCCTTTTCCTACAATAATGGATTAGGGAGTGCTCTTATTGCTTAAAGGATGCCAACAAAACATCACTAACTCAAATGCGGCACCTGCAAATTGGTTGATACTGCTGCTTATTTTTGCAAATCATGATAAAAGACATAAAATCATGGCGCTCAGCTGATATGTCCAGGACAAGAAAGAAGCCAGAGGGCTCCTACAAGTCCCCCACCGCTGAAAAAAGATTCCATAAAGTGGAGTTGTAAAAATTGGGCATCAAAAAAAAAAGAAGAAGTGGAAAAAGGTGTTGGATCAATATGCTTCACAGAAAATTAAAAAACAACACTGTTGAAATACTCCCTTAAAGTCCTGAATGTGACTCAAGTAAAAGAACAATTATTACAAAATGCACTTCAATATTAGAAGTATATGTTCTAACAATGCACAATGCCCCATTATTTTATAACCCATATCAGCTCAAGCTTAGGGCAAGTGACTTCAATTTATGTACAAATTTAAATTGCAAGAACTGTGCTTAAATAAAAATCGACTACTCAGCTACTTTTCATCACAAAAGAATCAAATCATGAGAACCACAAAATCCTTTAAAAGCATATCAAATCAAACTAAATAAAAGTTAAGCCTCGCTTCATATTTGCATATATTGAACCACATAAATCATTCCAATGAGAGTAAGTTTAAGATTCTGTCTGTACATGTACTGACTTGTTGCTGTTTTCAGCGAGATACAGCGGGGTTGGGGGGGGATGGCTAAAAGACTCAAATTAGGTGATTTGAGATGTGCCTGTTTACCTGTGCGGTGTAGCAGGTAGGGAGAGCTGAGATCAGCACCATGGACAGATCCAGGGCAGGTACTCTCACCTTGAAGAGGCTTCAGCTGCTATTTTTCAAGTTATTTCAGTCAGCATCAATATCCCCAGAAATAAGAACATACCAAACTTAAAAATTCATGTTGAGTTCGCAGCAGAGTGATGTGCGTAATACTTGTGTGCACTTTTGAAGCAACACGTTACTAAAGTGGTAGGTACTGTGGCTGAAGGTAAAATGTTTTATTTAATAAGAAACAGTTTAACAAGCCTGTGTTTCCCCTGGAACAATACTTCAGTCTCAGACCTCCTCGAGGATGTAAATGTTCACTGGTGTTGTGACCTCTGACCCTTACTGCCCCCCTGTTTCCTGAACCAGATGCTGCTCCTGTGGACCACAGTCTTCTCAACCTAAACAAAGTAATCCTCCACTAAACAAGATGGATATTGTATCACCAACCAAGTAAATACCAGAGGCTCTTGAACACAGAGCTGCTCTCTCTTCATGTCTGAACCTATGAGGGAAAGATGAAGTCTTGTATTGTTTTATGGATGAACAAAGAAACTTTATTTTACAGCTTCACATAACTTTTGTGGAATAGTACTGTATACAAACACATGCCAATCTTTGGGGCTGTAATTAGAGCATACAGGAGTTCTGCAAAGGGAAGTGTTCTGGCTGCATGTCAGAAATATAACATTGGGATCATATGTTGCCTATACTGTATAACAGTCCTTTGATGTTGCTCGCAACTATAGGATGGAAACATCAATTCAAACATCCATGTGGGTTAGGCCTACAGGGATGTGCCAAAGTTACACAGTACTTAGTTTTAAGAGATGTTTACTCACATCTGAGATTACAGCAACCATATAGCATGCATATGAAGAGAAACTATACTAGAGATGCCAATATGTGAATAAAGGATAGAAACGTTTTGTGTGCTCTCATACCAGCAGGAAATGCCAAACTGTAACAACAAGTTACTTAAAACTAAAATGGCCTTTGAAAAGCCTTTCAATGTAATTTGATTTGGAATTTTGGCATGTGTATGCAATACATTTAAACTCTGCTCACACATGTGAACTACAGTTAAAAAAAAATGTAGATTGTTTTGTTAAATTAGCCTATATCTCTACCTCTAAATAAATACAGTCAGTACAATGTCAGACCATAGGGCATTAACACATTATAGATCTACACTGAGTAGGTTCAAACACTTTTCATGCACACAACTGGAATGAGCTTCAAAAGAAACATTGTAGGCTACTATTGTACTTGTAATCACACATGCATGCTATATTAAATGTTGAAATGTACAACAGATCAACTATACAGTGTATTAATGTTTAATCAGTTTTTTGTCAAATTATTTCTGTTTGTCTCTATTCAAGACCAGTGACTCACTATTTTAAATAAAGGACATAACAAAAACCTGTAATAATGAATATAGTGTTTTCTACTGCTTTAACATAAGAAGGGTATTATATTGTAGTTGTCTTCTCTACTCAGCCTCTGTATCAGGAACTTTTGTGATAGCTCCTCTGATGCTCCCACCCCTCTCCTCACGTAATTCATCTTCTTAGCCAATCATGTCCCTCCCCAAAAAAGTTTACGCCATGCAGCCTATAAGAAGAGCCTTAGTTTCTCAAGTATCGGAAAAGACTTGTCCTCCCAGGATCCCATCTATGGATACTTCGATGTCTTCACAGGAAGACAGTGGACCTACAGGTGGACCATAACGCCGTGACTTCATGAGAGGGAACTAATTTTTTGGGGGGTGGACACTTTTGTGGGCGCCATCGACCCAGAGTGCAGATGTCTGAGGAGAACCTGGGTGAAGAGTCGGGCAGCTCGCCTGTCTCTCCTGAAGACAGCCTGAGCAACAGCGAGGGGGAGCTGGACCGAGAGCCGAAGAGATGTGGGAGGAAGAGAAGACCGAGCAGGAAGAACGGGGAGGACTCAGATAGCCCTACCCCTGGGAAAAGAGGGAAGAAGTCTAACAGCAGCAGCCCCCAGTCTTTCGAGGACCTCCAGTCGCAGCGGGTCATGGCCAACGTGCGCGAGCGCCAGAGGACTCAGTCTCTCAATGAGGCGTTCGCGTCGCTGCGGAAAATTATCCCCACTTTGCCCTCGGACAAACTCAGCAAAATACAGACGCTTAAACTCGCAGCAAGATACATCGACTTTCTGTACCAGGTGCTGCAGAGCGATGAGCTGGACTCCAAAATGGCAAGTTGTAGTTATGTGGCTCATGAGAGGCTGAGCTACGCCTTCTCTGTGTGGAGGATGGAGGGCGCTTGGTCCATGTCAACATCTCACTAACATCTTGAGAAATTATGCCCTAAATGGTACGCTTATTGTTTAGACTATAAATGCATAATTCAGCCTTGAAAACATGCGATCAAATAACCCACTAGAACTATGTGTGTTCCTCTTCTGTGGACTTATGCAACCTGAGAGATTTCTGCACACTTTAGTGTTAAGTAGCCTAATGCATTTTTTTAACCTACAGGTGACTGCTGATTCTACTTCTCAATTTCTGACGGGATAAATCTGGAGTCCAATGCTGGATACATGGGATCACTCCATTTGAACCAAAAAAACGACTGAAGCTTTTTTTTTTTTCTTCTTTTTTCCAAGAGGCCTGATAGGGTCTTTCAGCCATTTACACCATACACCCCTCATTCTGATGTATTTTATGTTGATGACGACGAATGTTAAAATATCATGTGTTTTTAATGCATGCCTTTGGGCTTATTCCTGGGCTTACGCCGAAATGCATTTGAAGGATTTGTCTCAGTTTTTGGTGTGAGACTGTCAACTGGTGGTGTAGCTCACATTACAGGCTGTCTGTGTGGATCAAACCTGTGCAAAATAAAAATAAAAATATTTTCAGATTACATTTATTTATTTATTGGCAGGACGTGTCACATTGAGGAAAACATCCTGTGTCTGAAATAGTCAAAAACATTCCTATTTTGTATTATCGCTTTTTTTGTAAATGTTTGTACATTTTTGCATTAAAAAAGATGACGATGAAAGTGTTGTTTTTTTACTTTTTTTTTTATACTGACTAAATATTATTTTGAAATAATATTTTGGATAAAAAAAACGGAATTTTATTGACAAACTAAAAGGAAAAGACAATAAATGATTTACTTCCTTGCATGAAATATACGTGGACTACAAATTCACATGAGATTTTATTACAAAGGCGTCAGTCACTTGGGAAAACACGCGGAGTTATTATTGGCTCACTTCAATACGTTGGAGACAAACAGCTACAATATTATAATGTGTTACACGTCCAAGTAGAAAAGGAAATCTGGATTTGATACAAGAGTTACCTCATTTCAAACTAAAACCAACAAGAAAGGGCCAATGGGAACACTATAAACGTGGATTTTAAAAAAGTGTTGCAGCAAAAAAGAAAAAAGAAATCTGCGGTAGAAAGAACAACAACGCCAGTCTGTAGCCTATAAACTTTGTCAAAATTCAATTTTAATTAAAGATTTTGTCTCCTGGTTCTCTATCTCTTTTCCTGAGTTTGTTTACAGATGGATTACGGACTCGACCTTAAACTCGCCAATATAAATCAATCAGTTACAGTGGGGTCAACCTGCTCTTAGGCCCAGCAGTTTTTCGGCATGTGAACAAAAAATATCAATCAGTTAATTGTTTTCAGATATTGTGTCTCCCTTTTTTTCAATTGCAACAGAAAAGTGCTTGCCAAATTTAAAAAGACGATAACAAAAAAATACAACAACCTTAAATGTGGTAATGGAGCCAATTTTCTTTGTAATAATCCCATGTAATTGTGTGCTGCACAACATATCTTCAGATAAGACTTTGTGCGTCACGTAGACACGAAGCTACCCCGATTATTGTCACTAAATAAATCTTTCATAGTGTTATCGTGCCGTGATTGATCTCAGTGATCTGGGAAAGTGTTTCTCACTGTCCAGAGTGTGTATCCGTTTGAAGGTGTGTAATTGGCTTGCGAGGCATGTATGGAATTCCCAGATGTCTATGAAATTTAAGGAGGAGGCCGTGAAGGTATAGGCTGCAGGTCAGTACACACACACACACACACACACACACACACACACACACACAAGATATTCTCACTTAAAGTTTGGGTTGCCTCACAAACAAACACACAGTCTAGATCAATAAACACACTTTCTTGAAACTCTAACGTTTGAGGAGTTTCACTCACTGCTAGACACATGCAGGCCTATATTACATATTAGCTGTGACCTATTAATGGCATATAAAAAAGTCCAGTTTTTCTTTTATAAAATCATTTTCAGACCTTATGCAACGGGCCTAAATACGTTTCCTCTCCCTTTCTGCAGCAGAGGCGAGTTGGCAATTGACACGATGTCGAGGCACAGAATGAAACCTATTTAGAACAGATGTTAGTATTTTTTAAAAGTCACGTGAAATGAGCAGATGTTCAGAGTGAGCAGCCGTGCTGTGTGTTAGTGCTCTGCAGGCAGAGGGAGAGCTACGAGGAGCTTTGCGTTCATATGTTCCACTCTGCAGTTTTATAAAACTATTTACCTCTAAGTTTGATGACAGTGGATTTATAGAGGGACACTTGGGGGGGAATTATTCTGAATGGACGGCGCTAAGAGAAAGGTAAGCTGAGGGGAAAAGGACAAAAAGTCTGTAGCACTTCTTACTGTGAAAATGTTAACTTGTTGATCGTTTCTTTGCGAGGTGATAGCTGTATGTGAGGTTAAGGTTTGTTTTTTTTGTGTTGTTTTTTTTATAAATCGAAGCTTCAGACTTTGAAGATAACTGAACTTGCGTGTCTGCGTGTGTGTGCGCGCGTGTGTGCACGTGTGTGGGGGGGAGGGAGGGAGGGAGGAGGCTTGGAGGAGGGAAGTACATCTGAAAAACGAGCGAGAATTTATCATCCAACTATTGGGAGAAAAAAGAAATGCATGATACATATTTTCCCCTGACTGAGTCTGAACTGTGTCACACATGGACGATAAGTTGAGTAAAAAAAAACAGTGACTAACTTAACTGCACTATCAAAGCAGGCCTACTCCCCCCCCTCTGATCTGAAGAAAATGAGACAAAACAAATCTGGATGATTAAATTGTTTTAAAGTATTAAACTAGTTGCTACGTAGGCCTATAATTCCGATCATGTTTAAATACGTGATTTGAATTACTGTAAATGTTGTCAAACACATGAATTAACGTTACTTTTTGTTACCATAACCATAATAGTTGAATAAATGAATGCACTTGTTTTTTTGTCTTTTTTTTTTTTTTTTACATAGGCCCGTTAATTGGCTGGCGAAAAAAAACCCATCCGATAAATAGCTTATGATCATGTGAAATATTTAAAAACTTCTCGTTTTTGTAGCCATCCGTTCACGTGCAGCAGGAGCTGCAAGTGATACACAACGTCCGAGTTGTGTTTGACCTTTTTTAGTTGTTTTTTTTAACCATAAATATATTAGGTTACAACAACAGTTTTTCGTTTATTACTTTGTAATACTGCCTCTTTCTTTCTTCCCTTCGCCTACAACGGTTTCAATTTGTCGTTATTTTATTTTTTTAATTTTAAAATCTTCATTCGATTTTGTTAATTTCATGGTTTCACTGATAATTAATGGAAAAGCCCAATCTTTTCAATAATACCTATACTTAACACGTTTAAAGATTTTTTTAAATGATGTCGCATGTAAACGTCATTTCTAAGTTCAGCACACAGAGCAGGTGCAGACTTTACAGCCAGCTCCAACACTCCAAGTGATTTTCCAGATTTTTCCATGTTGAGCCTCAGTGAGACATAAAAAGCTCTCTCGTTGATAATCAGCCTTTTTCTGGCCCACACACAGTTTCATCCACACATTTAACAGCCCATCATAACAGAGAGATTGAACCAGAGGCTGTGCTATGGAGATCAAATCAGAACGTGGATCTGCACTTTAAGGAAACAGAAGAAAATAGACTAAACAGGGCATTTCTCCTGCATCTGCAGTCTGATTTTTGATACATTTACATCTATGATGCTCAGGGGGCAATTTTTTTTTTTTACATGTCCAACGTGGCATCAGTTAAAATCTACAGCAGTCATATTGCACACCATCCCTTTTGTAAGGATACACATTTTTCTTGTTATTTATATAAATAATAAATCACATTTAAAACCAGACACTTGAATTTTGGTGTAAACCGTTAGTGGTGTGTGATTGCCTGTATCATACCAACACTCCATTAATAAGACTAAGTAGAATTTTCAGCAAACAGATTAGGAAGTGGGAAAAAATACAAACTTTTTGGTCCGGAAATATGATAAAAAAAATGTTGAACAATTTTAAATCTCAGTACAACTGTGAGCAGACAGCAGCTGTGGCACCTGTTTGGTCCACTGTTCTTTACAAATCAGCAACTTAAAATCACACATCATATTAGATCAGTGTCAAAGAATAAAGGACGCAATGTCATTTATAATCCCCCTTCGTCTCTTTGATAAAGTGTGACAATCATAAGGAGAGTTTGAAAAACCAACATGTGGTTTAATCTGTTTTGGTTTTAATTTTTAAAACTGAAAGAAAATCAAGTCTAAGAGAGTCACGGCGCCTTGTCAGGTTAATTTAACATCTGAAATGTGACTGAAAGTTTTACGTGCACTAAGAGAATCCAGTTTTTACTTGAGTAGTTCCTGCTCATATCAGGCTGCAGGTGTAATGTGTACCGTAAGCTTTTTTTTTGTTTTTAAAGCCTGGAGTAAATCAAAAACCTGTTTCTGTGCATGCTTTATATTCTTTTGTGTTTCTCTGAATTCCTTGTGCGGACTTTCATCCTGAAACAGGATCAAATATACTAAATCCCTAAAGAGTTGCAAGATATGCATTAAGAAATAGTTGATTTGTGCTTCCTTTTGTACTTAATTTAGAAAACTCAATGTATTTTCTTGAAATCATCACAGATTTAACTCTTAAAAACAAGTGTGTCTCCATTCAAATCAGAATCAAATAACTCGTCTCTCTCCGCACATCGAGAAGAAGCATGAGAAACATTTCTGTGCAGGTTCAGAAACATTTCATGTTTTAATTCCCCTGACACCCTGGTGCTCATACTTGAACATAGGGGAAAAAACAGTTCCAGGAGATGACAATGAGTAGAAAAAACTAGAGGTTTACTAATTTAGGCTTGTTCTTTCTGAAACACTCAAGACTGTTATTTATTTCTCACATTCAAAAGTAAAAAATAGAATACTTGAATACAGAATACAGTCCCTGGGGTCATTCATAGAGAACTGGGGGCTGACACAGGCTGAAACATTTTAGTCACAGGAAAGCATAAAGCTCTGAACAGTTGAATGAAACTTGAGGTAAATGATCACTAAGTAACAATGTTAAGATAAAGGAGGACACAGCAGACTTAATTGATGTCTTTGGCTGTTTGAGAAATGTTAAATGGATGCTTAAATAAACCTGGTTGAAGGCTTGTGGACACACACTGTGTTTAAATTGGCAAATTACAGATTTCAGCTGAAAATGTGAAGCCATGACAGGTCAGTGTTTCATCACAGTGAGAGGCTCATGCAGAATGACGCCATGATGAAGGCATGAAACACGTTTTATTTTAATCCAGTAACATCCTTTGATTCTTCAGTCAAAACTTGTGCACCTCTTATTTATACCTTTGTGTGATGTGTGCCACCCAGGCTGCAGACAGACATGGATCAGTGTGTTTTTACGGGATACACAATGATGTCACACACAGGAAAAGGACTGGAGAAGGCTTGGCACCTTCCAGAATTGGCCCGATCCCCATTGGCTGAGCAGAAACACTGTAATAATAAACAGGCAATCAGAAGGCAGCATGAGCATACACAAAGGCATCGCAAAAGTTTGCAGATAATAAAAGCAGATTTTTCACCCGAGGAGGATGATTATTTGTGTTCTTCAGTTGTCCATAAATAGAGGGGCCTCTCACAGGAAGTATAAACACACAGATGGAGTGGAGGCGTGTCGTAGTCCAATGCAATTTTCAAACA